AAAAAAACCCCAAATTTGAAAAAGATTAAATTCTTAACAGAGGGCCAAATCAGGTAAGACCAAAACAACCTTTTTTACATTCCTTGCTGTTTAAGCTGTCTGGTTCCTAGTATAAATTGGAGCTGCCTTCAGGCTGCTCTAATTGTACTTGGCTTCTTATAGTCATAAGGTGCTCTTCTAACTGGGAACTGGCAAGGAGTAGTGACACCTTGGCCTCACAATCTTCCTCTCAGCATGAGGAAAGCCTCAATCAAAGGGGTTGGATGGGTGAAACAAGGTTTTACGCCATCTAGGAATTTTCCCTTGTGGAACCAGAACACTCAGAGGACAGGATCTGCCAGCTCTCCACCACCAAGTGGAGACAAACAGCTACAGACATGTGATAAGGCAGAATTAGCAGCACCCTGATCACTGTCATTGCTGCAGCCTAAGGCAAGCCGCAGGCACACCTGAGGGAGGTTTACACTTTCTATTGGGGGCTTGTGAGCAGCTTTGTGACAATCACTGGACCAACAAGGTAATGAGGGTGAATGTAAGTGAAGGAAGAGGAGTCAAGAGGCAGCTCAGGAGGAAGCTCACCCTTGCTATAAGTCTGTGTTGCAGAGTCTTATTATATAAAAGGAGAATAAATACACACCCTGGTGAAAGATAAACAGCGTGTGTGTTTGTGACTGTAAAACCATCTGAACTGACCAGGCAGTTCACATGTGATCTGAACATGTGATAAGGCAGTCTCACAAATTTATTCAGTCTCACAAATACTACATTTTCAATTTAACATAATATTTGGATAATAGTTTTTTTCTTGTCTAAGCATGAATTAAGGGCTTGGGCTGTGTCTACACTGCACCCCTTTTCCGGAAAAGGGATGCAGATGAGACCAGTCGGAATTGCAAATGAAGCGGGAGATTTAAATATCCCCCGCTTCATTTGTATAAACATGGCTGCCGCTTTTTTCCAGCTCGGGGCTTTGCTGGAAAGAAGTGCCAGTCTAGACGGGGATCTTTCAGAAAATAAAGCCTTTTCCGAAAGATCTCTTATACCCCTTAAAATCAGGAGGGCAGTTATTTACTTTTTAAAAAGGATATTAATAGTTACCTCAGTGAAATGATTATACAACATTCATATAAACAAGTTTTCTTTAGTACCATGTTAGTTGCAAAGAATGTTACTTACTCTCAGTAACTGTGGTTCTTTGAGATGTGTTCTTCACATTTATTTTACTTGAGATTTATATTCACCCCATTCACAGGATCTGATTCTTTTTGAACAACAGGTTCTTTGGAGATCATATGTGTACCCTGAATTGCCCTCTCACTCCCTATAACTAACGGAATAAAGAATTCAATGGCTGCATTTATCCTCCAATTACTTTACTAAAATAGAATACAGAGGATATAGGAGCTAAGAAGGAGGGCAGGTCATGGAATAAACATGGCCAACACATCTCAAAGAACTACAGCTATTGTAGAGTAAGTAACCTGCTCTTTCTTCTTTGAGAATAGTGGTAGAAATGTAGCCGTGTTAGTCTGGTGCCGCTGAAACAAACAACAGGACTGTGTAGTGCAGCACTTTAAAGACTCACAAGATGGTTTAATAGGTGATGAGCTTTCGTGGGCCAGACCCACTTACTCAGATCATATTCTGGAAGAGAATTGGCATGACCATATATACCAAAGGAATACAATGAAAAAAGTGAACACATTATTAAACTGACAAATCAGATTTAGTACAGAAGGCGGGGTGAGGGAGAGAGAGGGAAGGAATAGCTATTTATGAGTCAATGAATGGCTAATCAGGGGTGATAAGTGGGGAAGCTATCTTTGTAATGGTTAAGATAATTAGCATCTTTGTGAAGGCCCGTTCGTAGAGTGTCAAATTTAAGCATGAAAGAAAGTTCTGAAGTTTCCCTCTGTAATCTGATGTTAAAGTCTCTTTGAAGTAAGATTCATGTAGTAAGGTCCTTAAGACTATGTCCAGGTAGGTTGAAATGAAAAGCAACTGGTTTTTGCTTGTGAAGATTTCTGATGTCTGATTTGTGGGCATTAATTCTTTGGTGAAGTGTCTGAGAAGTCTGTCCAATATACATATCAGAAGGACACTGTTGGCACATGATAGCATAAATTATATTTCTGGATGAACAGGAATATGTCTTCTTGATCCTTTGGTATATATGGTCATGCCAGTTCTATTCCAGATCTGAGGAAGTGGGTCTGGCCCACAAAAGCTCATCACCTATTAAACCATCTTTAAATAGGATATTGTGAGACATCATTCCATGCCACAGTAGATCAAAGCTTCTATCGTCTGTTATCCTTCATTCAGTTTTGGAGTAAAACGGGAGGGCAGACAATGTCTATGAAATAAGTCAACAGAGAATCAGAAAGGACAAAAGCTCCCCAAAACAAGCAAGCTGAAGGTCCAACATTAATAACTCTCTCCAGCATCAGGGTATGGTGCAGAGTTCTGAGAGTGAGCTGCTCTATTAGAGATGAATTGCAAGCGGAAAACCAATTAGTGTTGTTCCCTGATCTTTGCTTCACTATTCAGGCCAGATGAAAGGAACTGGCCATTTTGAGATATTCTTTGTTAGATGAAGGAGTTAAGGTCTAAAACATGTTCACTGAAAAAGTCAAAACAAGATTTTTCTAGAAGCTTGCAGTGCAAGTTCAACCTGGGATCTTAAAAGGAAGTTGTGTTGATTTCTGTCTTGTATATCATCATTGACTATAAGGAATCTATTATTAGGCTGTGGCAGTTGCCATTTTGTTGACAGATAGCCATAATTACATTTCATGAGCCATTGCTTGAAATGCACTTTATAACATAACTAAGGGTATGTCTACACTACCCCGCTAGTTTGAACTAGCGGGGTAATGTAGGCATACCACACTTGCAAATGAAGCCCGGGATTTGAATTTCCCGGGCTTCATTTGCATAAGACGGCCGGCGCCATTTTTAAATGCCGGCTCGTTCGAACCCCGTGCCGCGCGGCTACACGCGGCACGGGCTAGATAGTGCGGAATGGCTTGCTAGTTCGAACTATCTGTACGCCTCGTTCCACCCTAGTTCGAACTAGGGTGGTAATGTAGGCATACCGCACTTGCAAATGAAGCCCGGGATTTGAATTTCCCATACCCTAAGAGTGCATCTATGCTGCAGGGCTTAACTCGAAATAAGCTATGAAAATTGAGCTATGTCAATTGCATATCTTTTTTCTAAATAGCTTATTTCGAAATAGGGAGCCTATACACAGCACTCATTTTGAAATAGAGCACTTTTCCTTTGACTTCCCTTATTCCTCATACAATGAGGGTTACAGGAGTAGGAAGCTACGTCTACACTGTAGGTGTTTTGGGGAAGTGGAAATGCAAATGGAATGTTCATTTGCATATTTCACTCTCTCAATTGCATATCCTTTTTGTGTAGACGGGGCCATTTGTTGGAAAAAACTCTTTTTGCAAGAGCCTCTAAACCCCATTTTTTGAGGAATAAGGGATCTTGCACAAAAGGGGTTTTTTCCCCAACAAATGGCCCCATCTGCACAGGTCTTTCTATTGCAAACAGCTCTTCCACAAGAAGGATTGGAAGAAGATATGCAAATGAGAGCATGAAACATGCACATGAGTGCTCCATTTGCATTTCCTCTGCCGCAAAACACCCGGGGCTGCATCTAGACTGGCATGATTTTGCGGAAATACTTTTAATGGAAAAGTTTTTCCGTTAAAAGTATTTCCGCAAAAGAGTGTCTAGATTGGCAAGTGCCTTTGTGCAAAAGATTTGCTTTTGCACAAAAGCATCTGTGCCCAGTATAGATATGGTTTTGTGCAAGAAAGCTCTGGTAGCCATTTTTGCCATCGGGGCTTTCTTAAGCAAAAAATTCAAGTCCCTGTCTACACTGGCCCTGTTGCACAAGAACACTTGAGCAAGAGGGCTTTTTCCCCGAGCGGGAGCATCAGAGTTCTTGAGCAAGAACACGGACAATCTTACATTACATTGTCAGTGTTCTTGCGCAAATTCTTGCGGCCAGTTTAGACAGCTGGCAAGATTTTGCGCAAAAGCAGGTGCTTTTGCACAAAATCTTGTCAGTCTAGATGGACTCCCACAGTGTAGATGTAGCTGGAGAAAAAAGTCCTCCAGTTTGACAGTATTTTGACACTATTTCAAAATAATGTGCGTGTGTGAATGAATAAATGAATGAAAGGGTGTGTGTGTGAGAGAGAAAGATAGCTGGTTCCTCTTTAGTTTAAACATTTAGTGGAAGCTCTATCCTCTTTAGTTTAACCATATAGTGCATATAGTGGAGTGTTAATTCCTCAATCAATAAATCCATACTAGTGTAACTCTGGGTGGTCTCCAGTGGGAATTTTTTGGGTAAAATCTGTAAACCTCATTCCACGAGGAATAATGCCTATTCCGAAATAGCTATTTTGAAATAGCAGAAGTGTGGGCGCTCCACTGCTGCTATTTCGAAATAGCTCCTCCCCAGGCCATTCAAAGTAATTATTCTTCAGTGCCTCAGGGCTCTAACTGGAGGTAGCACATCTACATTAGGGCTAATGCTGCCTCGAGCTAAAGTTGAGGCTTCCCTGCAACGTAGACGTGCTATTTTGAAATAAACTATTTTGGAGTATTTCTTCTGGAATAGCTAATTTTGAAATAAGCGTGCAGTGTAGATGTACCCTTGGAGACATAAATTCAATACTATTCTTTCAGATTTTGTCCTTTACAACCAAAAATGTTAAGATTGACAAATACAAGTAACTTAAATAGTGAGGACGAAAATCTGCATCAGAAAATGAGTTCAGAGAAATTTATATTTTCCTTTAAAATCAGCAAGTTTTCCTCTT